TTTGTCGGGGGCATATACGTATATGGACAACTGAGGAAGTCGGAGGGTAATGAAATGAATGTCATCAATTAATGAATGACGAAAGGCATTATGAAGGGTTTCCACTAAAGGGTATAGTTAGGTTTCATTCCCATAAAGCCATACCTTTTACTCCAAATAATCTGGCTGGAGCATGGGGTTGAGAAAGTAAATTAAGAGCGAAAGAGACTGGCACGGGTCTCTATCCATAATAAAGTTCAAGTCCCCACACCCTTCTCTTGCTTTGTACTCTAGTTAATCAATAAATGATGTCCCTTGATCAAACCATGTACATATATACATAAAAACAAGAGCCTACACACACACACGTAAATTGTTTTTGATGAGCATATATGTGTTTATTTTACGTGCGTTTCAGATAATTGTGAGTCAAATTGAACCCCTGACGGAGCAACAAATACTGGGAATATATGGGTTGCAACAGTCTACGCAAGAGGCAGAAGATGCTCTCTCCCAAGGGCTTGAGGCTCTCAATCAATCTCTCTCGGACACTATAACATCTGACTCACTGAGCTGTCCGCCCAATATGGCCAACTTCATGGGACAGATGGCCATGGCCATAAATAAGCTCTCTACTCTAGAAGGTTTCGTGAGACAGGTACGTTAGACGATTCATTTTCACTCTGTTTATGTTACGTATATATGTATACTACATAAAGATCATGAAGGCAAGCATTTTGAATCTGTTTGTGGTAGTGGTTTTATTTGTGGCCTCGTGTTCTGGTTTAATTAGTTTGTGGTCCCTCAAGACTGCTTCTATATCTGATCCCGTGGGGCTAATTAGGCAGCTAGGACCAAAGAATCTCTGTTCCTCTTTGGGTAGCTGGGGAGGGGAGTGACCTGCCCCAACCCTATGAACAACTCCTTCCATGCATGTCTCAGTCCTCATGGAATCTACAAAATGTTAACAAGGGGACATAATTTTTTTCTGGAAACGGAAATATCGTTCGTTACTAGTCAGTTTTTCAGGGGCATACACCATAGATGCACCTACTTGACAATGATAAATCAAATTAAAGCCGCCCCATGAGTTTCCATAAATAAATTGATGGTGAATGTATATATAACTTGCGTGAATCATAGAGATATTAGGAAACTTAAATTTCATTTTTATAGTTTCTGTTTGGGAAGAACTCTAAGGGATGTATATTATTTGTAGTGACTATATTATTGAAAAATTTTTGAAAACAGGATTGATTGTAGTTAGTTTGAACCTTAGAAGCATGCAGATTACAGAGAGATTACAATACGGAGGAAAGGTGTGAGGAATCATGTACTAGTGACAGTAGGGGTAGCTAGTGGTCCCGCACTAGTATAATTTTCATCCAGAGAGGTCCATTGAGCCCCATATGTGATGATGTCACGATCGTAACCAACCCTTGATCAGGTTGAGGACACCACATACATATTGTTGCTTCTCTATGTATAACTCCTCTTTTGACCTTGTCTTGAACCACACAAACACTTCAGGCCAAAAGCAAGAGGGCCAAACAGACAAAAAGAACCAAACAAACTCACATGCTGATCCAACGGAACTTCAAAACACAAAAAACAAAACATTATTCCTCTAAATATCCACCCGATCACCTACTTCTTCCAATGAATGGTCATTAATGATCATTATATTCTAATCAATAATTACGTGAACCCATTAAATTCTAATGAAGATGTCCTGAATAGGTCCCATGCATCAGGTGCGTGTGTATATATCCCATATGTGAAACACATCAAACAAGACAAATTACATATTAAAGGAGAAGAAAAGCAGAAACGAAATTAAACTTGGATTGAGTACAGGAATAAAATGTCCTTAAAATTCTTTGTGATGAAGCTTATTATAATTGAGTTGGTTCACCAACATTGGTTTATATTTCAATGGGTCAGTCGCTGATTTCACAAGCCACTAAAGAATAAAAGCTTATATATGTTCCAAGTAACCGTCAAATCGAGGAATTATCAGGTAGAGTACATTAATCACAATGATTACTAGTTTTAACACACTAGCAAGCAATCAGTACAGTCATAATTTGACCATTTTATTTTGAAGTATTCATGCTTCTATCGTAAATGTAGACTATGAAATTCGTGGTGGCGTGCGTGCGTGGCTTTGTATGTATTTTGATATAAATGTCTGTGCCCTTTGGATTCAGAATAGTTGAAAACAGCAGTGTCTTCATTAATTTTGAATGAAACCCCTGCTTCTCTTTGAAAAAGTTTACACCTTTGAATATATTGGTTTTAACACACACACACACACACACACAGAGGCGCGCACGTACATCTTTTTGACCACCTAGTTTAGTTTTTGTGCGGGGTGTGCTTCCACGTAAGTTTCCAAGGAAATTAAGTCCATCATTAAATAATCCGAGCATTGACTATGGAGACATCATAATCTACAAGTCATAAGTAGATAGAGAGGTTGCGAGTCCTGTTCATGTTTCAAGATATTGGACTCGTGGGAAGACTCTGATTGGCCCTCCTGCCCCTTTCAATGAAATGTGTCTAGGTGCATTTGCTTCTAAAGTAGGGCATAAAGGTGCCGTGTGTGATTATAAAATTCAAGTTCTAACTGAAGCCTGCATAAAAATATGGAGTTGACATTGTTGAGTTTTATGACAATAATTATTAATTCCTTTTGTTTTTAATGAAAACTTCAACAGGCAGATAATCTGAGGCAACAGACCATTCACCGTCTGCATGAGATACTGACGACGCGGCAGGCGGCGAGGTGTATGCTGGCCATCGCCGAGTACTTCCATCGTCTCAGAGCTCTCAGTTCTCTGTGGATGGGACGACCTCGTCAAGAATGACCGTAACGTAATCTTGGATTGGAGCTTCCTCCGAAGTAGCCAGCCAACCTACCTACCTACCTACATCCTGAATTAGCCTTTAATTAATTAATTAATTAATCTCCTTGTTAATTAACTTTCTTTCTTCTATTATTACTATTATAAATTGAATTGAATTGAATCCATGTGTCTGCTTCAGCTTCCACCCTGCCTTCTCCCCACGCTACGCTGCATATAATTTAATCTAAATAGACACGGCACGTTATAGAATTGAATTTTACTTGTATGTCTCTGACTGTGGAAGTACAGGAGGAATACACCAGCGCTATCAAATTGAAATGAATCAATTTGCTTCCCACAGAAAACTCAATGCCTTAGCTCTGCGGGTGAATGATGGTAATTCTTATTCCCTAAGTGACTGGTTTCCAATTCTAAGCCTGAACAGATCTGGTTCGAAAATATTTGATTTCAACCTGGCAAACTTTGTTTACTATTGAAAATTATCATATTGTTAGACCTCACTTTAACTCGGGGAAGGGGGTCCTCCCCGGGTGTTCCCAATTCTTTCCTTGGCTCATGAATCAGTGGATTTTGTGCTCGGCGTTCTTATAAGGTTAGCTAGCTGCAAAGGCACGAATTGTAAAGAAAGGACAAATTAAATTTTAAAAAATTATTGTTCCCATAACATATATCTATGTCACAAAAATACAACTCATCAATATATATAGTGAATTTCATGACAAAATGAATCAGTTATAAGTATGTATAATATAAATTATTTTTCAAATTTCGTATAATAAAAAAGGTCTTGTGTATATGAAGATGCAAACGGAGTGCTTTTATTTTAACATCACGGCTTGAAATTTTAGTCCTTGTAATATATTAAAACTTAAAAAGTGAAAATTTATATTTTTCCATAAAGAAGACAATAACTGATTTATCAATAAAGTTAGGTTAACTTTACAAGTGTGAGAGTTAAATGCTTGGGCTCAAAAGAGAGCCCAAAAAACAAAATAGAGCGTAAAAGCTCTCTCTTGCTTTGGGCCAATCACGTAGGTCAAAGAGACCCCGGGGAGAGAATATGTCTCGTTATACCAAAGGCCGAGGGTAAATAGCAGGTCAAAAAGCCCTAAGATAAAGGGTTTTGTAACATATTTTGCCCAACACTATATCAATCGTTTTTATGACCTTCATACCGAGCGCCACATCACATCCTATTCGGTTCGGTTAGTGATACTAAATAACCGAATAACCGAATAGATCATAATGCCAACACCGAGCTGAAACCGAACATGATTAACTAACCAAACCGAATTAACCATTCAGTTCGGTTAGTGGGCTTGTTCAGTTATTGGGCCTCTTTTTGGGCTTTTTTTGGTTCCAAAATATCATACATGTAGTGAGCCAACGGAATAAAAGTCCAAACAATAACATTTGTTTTAGGCAATACAATGCATAAAATGATGTTAATTAAAATGTAGCACTACTTCCACGCACTTTCCAAAACCCAAGCTTCGCATCTTGAATTAAAATCATCAAAATAGGACCGCCTATAAATTAAGTTATGAAGTTGAATAAAAGTTTGATTCTTTTTCTTTTTAATTAACCGGTCTTTTCAAACGCAAAGTATCAAGTAAACTAGATTGGTGAATCAATGGATGTCTCACCCACCTCCCACACACTGATTTCACACCCCCTGATTTCACACTTATATTTTTGTCCCTTGTTTTTTCTTTCGGGCACAAGTTTCAACAGTTTATCCTTTTGCCCGGGGCTCGGCGGACTCTGTTTCACAAGACATGGTTTTTGAGGGTGGGTCTTGGATTGGATCCTCGGCTTTCAAGTCGCCTCCCTCAGCTAGACATGCCTTCTAATCACCCACTCTTAATATGCCTTATCACGATACCTCCCGGGGTGGATGCGGCAGTCGAATAATTTGACATGGAGCATGGCTATACAACACACAATAAATAACACTACTTTGCCACAAAGAGGGTTAGAGCAGAATTATCAACTGTTAAGTCAGCAGCCATATGGCGGATGAAAATAGCGTAATCTTAACCAAATCCATGATCTTCGTGTTACTGTGAGTCATTTGACAGTTATTTAGGCAAATAAGCACACATTTGACAATTGACAGATGATAATAATGAAGGGGGGAGGCGTGTCTAACTCGTGCACGTAACGGCATGTCATATTCTCAGCTGCTAGCTGCGGTTCAGAATCATTCCAGATCTTCCTACTTATCATTAATGATGTAAACGATCATCAAGAACTTTGACAAAATGTTCCCAACAAAAAGAACTCGTAAAGAAAATGAAGACCGGCCCTCATTCGTAAATTGAAGTTGACGCTTCCCGCTCATACGCACATAATATACTAATATATAAACGCATCATCCCCCTACGGTCGATCCTCCCATCGCATCCCAATATGTTTCGTCTGTGTTTGCTTCTTGTACTCATCTCTCATGCTCTGTCGTCGGAGCTATGCAACCCCGCCGACAAGAAAGCTCTGCTGCAGCTCAAGAAAGATCTCAACAATCCCTACCTCCTAGCCTCATGGAACCCCGCCACCGATTGCTGCGACTGGTACACCGTCACTTGCGATCCCAAAACCCACCGCATCGTCTCCCTAACCATTCTTGATTCCACCGCCCGCTCTAATTTCTCCGCTCAAATCCCGCCTTCCATCGCCAATCTCCCTTTCCTCCGCTCTCTGGAATTCCACAAGCTCCCCAATCTCACCGGCCCGCTCCAGCCTGCCATCGCCCGCCTCACTCGTCTCACCTTCCTCCGCATCAGCTGGACCAACCTTTCCGGTCCCGTTCCGAGCTTCCTGGCCCAGCTCAATAGCCTCACTTTCCTGGACCTCTCGTTCAATAATCTTTCTGGCACAATCCCGCCTTCTCTCTCCCAATTGTCTGGCCTCGCCGCCCTTCACTTGGACCGCAATCACCTCACGGGTTCGATCCCTGAGTCCTTCGGTTACTTCAAGAGCAGCCCTGATCTTTATCTCTCTCACAACAATCTCTCCGGTCAGATCCCCAACTCTTTCATCAACTTGAACTTGACTACCATAGATTTGTCGCGGAACAAGCTGGAGGGAGACGCGTCCATGCTGTTCGGGTCCAATAAAACGGTGCAGATAGTTGACCTCTCGAGGAATCTGTTGGCGTTTAATGTGAGCAAGGTGGTGTTCCCGAGCAGCCTGACGTCGCTGGATCTGAATCACAATAAGGTGTACGGGAGTCTTCCTGGGGGGTTGACGGAACTGAATTTTCAGTACTTGAATGTGAGCTATAACAGGCTGTGCGGTCAGATTCCGGTGGGAGGAAAGTTGCAGAGCTTCGACGTGTATTCCTATTTCCATAACAGCTGCCTTTGCGGCTCGCCGTTACCGGCATGCAAATAATTGCTCTTCCCGTGCCACTAAACGGCTACGTATTCCGCGGCGCATAAAATAAACAGCTGAGCCGCGAACACGGCGATTATATGTTCCTCTGTGTGTGTGTGTGTGTGTTTCATTAGACGATGTTTTAATTACTATCTTTCGCCACAAGCAGCGAGCTGCGTTGAATGTTAATTTGCTCTACCCAGCAAATCACAATAAAATTGATACCTACATTCATTAAATGAAGCTAAAACAAATAAGACGGAGAATAACGAACAATGAGGACTGATGATATCTTATGGGAATATTTTATGAATTTCTGTATATCTCAATCGATTACAGCATGGTCCATATATAGCACTGAGCCACGAACTAGATTCCCATATTTTTCTCTAACTACTTAGATATCCTAATAGTGCTCCCCCTATTTAGCAACAACTAATCCTAGATAATCGCAAACCAACGTGAACAAGTCTCACGTCTTTTGACTTGGTAAACCAGAAAAAAAAAACAAACAAATAAAACAAGTAAGAGGGTAAATGGAGAGGACTCGAACTCTGCATGTTACGTGCTTTGAGGTTTGTGCTAATTTTTAACAGAAGCCACCTTTGGATTCCTTGGTGGAAGATGGGATTTTTGGGCCTAAAGAAATGCACTTCGAATAAAAGGTATAATAATTTTGGCCAAAAAAAAAAAAGAACAAAAGGTATAATTCCAACAAGAAAGCGGCGCTGTCATAGAAACCAACCAATTTGCCCTCTAGTTTCTTCCTTTTTTGAAGAGGATACGTCTTTCTTTGACTTTGACTTTGACTTGGACGACTGTCAGGCAGCCTGCAACTCGAATGTGCAAAAGTATGTTGTGTTAGTTTCTGTAAGTACAACCATAAATTAAGCAAAATATATAGGAAATTAGGGATGATTTAATGATCTATATTACCAGTTTTTTTTTTTTGAATAAAAAGGAATAAGGAGAGACAACTATCAAAGACTATATGAGACTATGGCTCTATTTGGATTAGCGTTTGAAATCACTTATAAATATGTTTTATATAAGTCGAGAGAAAACTTCTCTCACACACTTATCTCGTATTTTATAAATTACGATTAAAAAACTAGTTATAAGTCATTCTAAATGGCCTTTGATTAATTTATTTTGCAACTCTAGCCACTTTCTTAAATGTCTTTTGATTAAGTCTTTTTTTTTTTCCAAGTTTCTCTAAAGAATACAAAATATTATGACACGTCAAATAATATCACGTGATTTACATGATTTTACTTTATTTTATTTTATTTCGAGAGTCCGAAAAGCATTATATATGGAGTATTAGAAAAGTTCATGCACTCAAAACAAAATCACGACCAGTTTGCTGCCAAATGCCAGACAGAAACATGCAATAATCTCTTGCTTCCCCTACATTTTCGACCATATCCGCAAAGCTTTCTGTTGCCCCACAAATGTTTTCAGATTTTGTGTCCCAAACTGGAAACCATGCTCTGCTGGTGTTTTCCAATTTCAAATTTAAAATTCCGGAGCCGCTCGGAATTATCATTAGTTCTCACAGATTCTCTAAGCGTCCTCTTTGCTTCACTGTATAAACAGTTAAACACCAATGACCTTGCCAAGCATGCATGGCTCTGTTATTCTATGCTCCTGCTCGCTCCGATCGAGCACTATGTCATCCGCGAGACAAGAAAGTCCTTCTTCAAATCAAGAAAGACCTCAAGAATCCTTACCTTCTCACCTCCTGCTACTGTATGTGCGAAATGTGTATCCGCTCACTGGGATTGACTGCATTGCGACTTCAGAGCTTGAACGTGAGTTATAATTTGC